TAGGAAATTTGTATATTTCCTTGTAATCTGTACAGATTTGAATAATTAGGAACAATCCCATAAATCAAGGGATCCTAGCATAAAATAGAGTTATTATATTTCCTAAAATAGCTTAGGTCTCCTGTATATATCTTATATCATCTCTTTGTATTGAAATAATATCAAATATATTTCAGTTAATCTATTTTTCAAGATGGTATCAGAGCTTCCGATCTAGGAAGCTCTGTCTGTGCGCAATAAACCCTAAGACTGCAGCCTGCATTGTCGCTGCATTTTTCTTAACCCTAAGACTAGCACTCGCATTGCCGTTGCATTTTTCTTAACCCTAAGACGGCAGCCTGCATTGCTGCTGCATTTTTCTTAATCCTAAGACGACAGCCTGTATTGTTGTTGCATCACACCTCCTTGCTATGATGTCAAGGGAAGAGGAAGTTGTGAATCCAAACCCGTAAACAAGGGAATACCCAATCCCAAAGAACTGAGAACTCGCGAATATTCATTCCGCATATAGACTAAATGGAAGAAATTGTGGGCCCAACTTGTTCGTACAAGTGTTGAAGGGAAAGGGGAAGTTGAGTCACCCGATGGAGTCTCGGACCTAAACAAGAGGATCCCAAGTTTACTACATGGGATGAAAAAGATTCAATGATCATGGCGTGGCTGTGGAATTCAATGATTCCAGAAATCAGTGACACCTGCATGTTCCTTAATTCGGCAAAAGATATTTGGGATGCTGTAGAGCAAACCTACTCTAAAGCCAAAGATGCTGCTCAAGTATATGAAGTAAAGGTGAAAACTTTGGCAGCAAAACAAGGGAACAAGATTGTTACAGAATATGCCAATCAGCTGAAATCATTGTGGATGGAGCTAGACCATTATAGAGTCATAAAAGCCAAATGTACTGAAGATTCAACACTTCTCAAGGAGTATATCAAACATGGCCAAAGTCTGATCTCCTTTATGGTCCACTGCTGAAGTCTCTACTGCGGGACTCTCTAACATGAGACCCCTTCTACTTTCTTCACTTCTCACAATAGCCACCACTTCATTGAGGCATGGTACCTTTTGCTTCCCCAATATTTGAATCCTAACTTGATCAAATTCAGGATTCAAACCAACAAGGAAATCATAATCTTTGGCTCGATGGTTTGTCACCTTTATAGATGACTGTACAAGGGTCACTTGGGTTTTCCTACTTAAACAAAAATCAGAAGTCAGTTCTGTCTTCCTAAACTTCCACTCCATGATAAAAAATCAGTTTGGTGTCAATATTAAGAGACTTAGGTCAGATAATGCCAAAGATTACTTCAATCATGTCCTTAGTTCTTTTTGTCAAAAAGAAGGTATAATTCATGAGTCCTCTTGTGTCAAAACACCACAGCAGAATGGGGTCGCAGAGAGGAAAAATGGACATCTATTAAATCAGACTCGGGCATTGTTGTTCCAAAAAAGTGTCCCAAAAAATTTCTGGGGGGAAGCTGTCCTTACAGCGACATACCTTATCAATAGACTACCCTCTAGAGTCTTAGGATCGAAAAACCCTATGGAAGCTTTGTCATCTTTCTATCCAAACCTATCTACTACAAATAATCTTAAACCAAGAATTTTTGGATGCATCTCATATGTCCATATTCATAGTACAGACAGGGGAAAACTTGATCCTAGAGCCTTAAAGTGTGTCTTTGTTAGTTACTCACCCACTCAGAAAGGGTATAAATGCTACCACCCCCCATCCAAAAAATTCTTTGTGTCTAGGGATGTTACCTTCAATGAACAAGAGGACTATTTCCATCAATCTTATCTTAAGGGGGAGAGTTTCAAGGAAGATAAGGAAAGTAGTAATTCTGATTTTCCCATTCTTCCAGACTTGATATTTGAACCTAAACAAGATCAAATTGAAGTTGTAACAAGTGAAACAGGTCAAAGAATTGGTCAAGAAAAGGAAGCTGGTCAAGAAAGTGAAATTAATTGTGAAGCTGATCAAGGAGATGTTGAAGCTGACAAATTTGGTAAGAAGCTAGTGTACTCAAGGAAGACTAAGGTCATTCCAGGATCAAGCCATGGATGTAGAGATGGAGGCATTGGAGAAGAACAACACCTGGGAGTTAGTCACCTTACCAATAGGAAAGAGGCCAGTTGGATGTAAATGGGTCTATACAGTGAAATACAAGGTTGATGGATCAATTGAGAGATATAAGGCAAGACTAGTTGCCAAAGGGTTCACCCAAACCTATGGAGTTGATTATTTGGAGACCTTTGCTCCGGTTGCCAAAATGAACACAGTTAGGGTGATATTGTCCCTGGCGGCCAATTATGGTTGGAACTTGGAACAATTTGATGTTAAGAATGCTTTCCTACATGGAGACCTTGAAGAAGAAATTTATATGGAGATACCTCCGGAATATGGTAAAGATGTTGCTGCCAACACTGTTTGCAAGTTGAAAAAGGCATTATATGGGTTAAAACAGTCCCTCCGTGCATGGTTTGGCAGGTTTACTGAAGTTATGATAGATCTAGGTTACAAACAAAGCCAAGGTGACCATACTTTGTTTTTTAAACATTCCAAGTCAGGGGGAGTAACAATATTATTGGTGTATGTGGATGACATAATATTAACTGGAGATAATAAAGAAGAGCAGCAATTATTGAGCCAATGCTTAGGCAAGGAATTTGAGATCAAGACCTTGGGAAAACTAAAATATTTTTGGGAATTGAAGTTGCCCACTCCAAGAAAGGGATATTTATATCTCAAAGTAAATATATCACTCGATTTGCTCAAGGAAACTGGCAAGGCAGACTTGCAAACCCGCTAGTACCCCATTAGAACCAAACCTAAAGCTTGGAAATGCGTAAGAAGATGTTGTTGTTGAAAAAGATATGTACCAAAGATTAGTGGGCAGACTTATATATTTGTCGCATACCGAGCCGGATATTGCCTATGCAGTGAGTTTAATTAGCCAATTTATGCATAGCCCAAAGGAGACCCATTTACAAGTCGCCTACGTAATTTTACAAGTACCTTAAAGGAACTCCAGGAAGAGGGATTCTATTCAAAAGGAATGGTAATGTAAAGCTTGAAGTCTATACTCGATGCCGATTATGCAGGGTCAATTGTGGATAGGAGGTCAACCACGGGATATTGCACCTTTCTTGGAGGAAATCTTGTGACTTGGAGAAGCAAAAGCAGGGTGTAGTGGCTCGGTCCAGTCGTTGAAGGCAATTCGAGCCATGGCACAAGGTATATGTGAGTTACTATGGCTTAAAATCATCTTAGAAGACTTGAGGATAAAGTGGGAAGAACCTATGAAGCTCTATTGTGATAATAAGTCAGGAATCGAGTATAGCCCACAACCCAAGTGCAGCATGATAGAACAAAGCATATTGAAGTAGACAGACACTTCATCAAAGAAAAGCTTGATAGTGGCTTGATATGCACTCCATATGTGTCCTCTCAAGACCAAATTGCGGATATTCTTACCAAGGGGTCAGGCTGCCATAATTTTGAGAAGATTGTATCCAAGCTCGGGAATGGAAAACATCTATTCACCAGCTTGAGGGGAGTGTGGGAAATCAAATAGTATTTTAGGAAAGAATAAATCGGGAAATTTGTATATTTCCTTGTAATCTGTCATGCATTTGAATAATTAGGAACAATCCCATAAATCAAGGGATCCTAGCATAAAATAGAGTTATTATATTTCCAAAAATAGCTTAGGTCTCCCGTATATATCTTATATCATCTTTTTGTATTGAAATAATATCAAATATATTTCAGTTAATCTATTTTTCAAGAATTAGCATTTATTTTTCTTTAATGAATATTTGTAATTCTGATGACAAAGTTTATTTACAAGCTGAACCATTTTTATTAGAAATAAGAAGTTGAGTTTATTTTTAGAAATATTAGAGTTTATCTTTTTTATCTTAGTGAGAGTGATTTTCCTAAATTCTTGAGTAATTCAAGAACCCTTGGCTCTATCAAAGGATTGTCACATCCTTTGTGTGTTGCCTCCCTTGGGAAGAGTGATTCTTTCCTTCCACCTTCTTTCTAATTCCTAAATTTCTTAGAAGGTTCTAACCCTAATTATCCCTTGTCATTCATATCATTTGAACTAAGTTTGTCTTAGACAACTAGGAAGTAGGCAGTTGAGAGGGACCTGCACTAGTAATAACAACAACAGCACCATAGCTTTTTGGCATGAACTTCTGCATTTGCACTGAAACAAATTACCAAATCCATCAATCATAACGTGCAGAAGAAAACAATTATATAACCCCTTCAAATAGCAATAGAAATAATAAATTTTCTCTCCTTCGCTTTAAATCCAGTAAGATGCAATGATTAAAACAAACTTCTGAGCCAAATTTATTCCATCATAGACATTGTTTCCAATCCAGGTAGCATAAGGATGACGGCAATGAAATTATGTTAACTTTATGTTAGTTTGTAGCCCATTCCCCTCAACCAGATTAGTTTTTTATTAGTATAAAGTTATAGACATGACATATCTTATTAACTCAATAAACTGTGGATTAAAACTGGACAATAGTGTATCTTATCCTATTTCTTGTATCCAAGTTAATGTGGACTTGAATGTTTTGCTTCTGTAAGGGGTTTTATTTTCATTAAGGGGAATTTCTTTTCCTAGTTAGGCGCGCCTCTTTTGATTCCATTGTAAGTCTAACTAAATACTATAGAATTTGTAGCCTAATACAACTACGAGTTTCATATAACAAGAATTTCTGTCATGGATTTTGTGCAGGCACACAACAAGCGCCCTCCATGGTCTGTACAACAAAGGAAACCCGTTACTGCAAAATCTGGTTGTTAGTGGCCTATTTATTGGCCTATTGGATGCATCATCCTTGTATATCAAACACATTAGGTATGAGGATTTATGGATCAATCTCAAAATTGCTTTGTTACAAAGAGACTAATCCAATTATTATTTAATGCAAAATTTCGTAAATAATTTTACAATAATATTTCTGATGAAGTTTTACTTCACCTCTGGTTGGACCCACCGTTCTTATTTATATATATATATATATATATATATATATATATATATATATATATATATATATATATATATACAAAAGAAAAATAATCAAATTACTCTAAGAGTTATTTTCTATCCTGATCTTTATTTTCTCTTGGTTCATGAATGTGCAAAAGATTCAGATTCATCTCTAATATTATAATTTAATAAATACTCCCTAATTTACTATTAAATTGGTTCATAAAAATAAATATTGGTGATCAAATAGCCTCCCAAAATTTAAAAATAGAACGTGGTTAATTGTTGTGCTTTTTACACGGGACTAAAATAAATATTGTGTTCTATCAAGCAGTAAATTGATAGTTTTTTACATATTTAAAGGCCAAATTGGTCATTTATCCAATAAAGAAAAAAATATGTTGAAAGAATAATATATTAAAATTTATTTTAAATATTGTTGGTAGACTTTTTTCATAAATAACACTATTTTTTAAAATATTTTCCAAAATAGCACATCTCGAACATTATTTACACAACTAAGACTCTTTACTCGTTTATGTATTAAAATAATCGATTATTTTATATTATGATCGATTATTTCGCGCTATCACCTCTCGCTCAAGCGAAGAAACCCTTCGCTTAAGCGAGGAAATTTGTAACAAAGGGGTAATCTCGGGTCAATTCTCGCTCAAGCGACGAAACCCTTCGCTTAAGCGAGGAAATCTGTAACAAAGGGGTAATCTCCGGTCAATTCTCGTTCAAGCGACGGGTATTTTCGTTTGAGCGAGAAGTGATTAAAATATGTGGTGACCCAAGTTGCGTTATGTGGCTAACTACGTTGGATGTTTAGCCACATAATGCAACTTGGGTCACCACATATTTCAATCACTTCTCGCTCAAGCGAAAGTACCCGTTGCTTGAGCGAGAATTGACCCGAGATTTTAGATAGCGGTTCTAGAACTAACCGCTATTAAAAATACATTTTAGATAACGGTTCTAGAACTAACTGCTATTAAAAATACATTTTAGATAGCAGTTAACGTGAAACCGCTATTATATGTTCACTTTTAAGAGAGGTTAAAATATTAACCGCTCTTAAAAGTGACACATATATAATTGGACCGTGGTTAATTCTCGCTCAAGCGAGACATTCATTGCTTGACCGAAGAAATTTATAATCGATTATAATGTGAACTAATCGATCATAATTTTAAAATAATCGACATATAATAGCGGTTCCATGTTAATCGCTATTTAAAATGTACTTTTAATAGCGATTAGTTGTAGAACCGCTATCTAAAATCTTGGGTCAATTCTCGCTCAAGCGACGGGTACTTTTGCTTGAGCGAGAAGTGATTGAAATATGTGGTGACCCAGGTTGCATTATGTGGTTAACTGCGTTGGACGTTTAACTGTGGTCAATTCTCGCTCAAGCGAGAAACCCATCCAAAAACATGTCATGATACAAACTCAAGGCCTGGTCCATTTTCTCATTCTTGCACAATCCATTTATTAAAGAATTGAATGTATAAATGTCAGGTTTACATCCTTTGCTTGACATTTCGCGAAACAGCTTGTAAAGCCTCTTCAATCTTCCCATCTTTGGACAAGTGCACAGATCAAGCAATTGTACCCCACTCGTAGTGAGACTCGGACCCTTGACTCGACATGCTATTCATAATTTCAGCCACTTCCTCTAATCTGTCTTGCTTGTAGAAACCATTTATCAATATGGTGTACGTGATCACATTGGGCTCGAAGCCTTTTGCTACCACCTCGGATAAAAATTCAAGGGCGTGAAACCAAATAACCTTTCTTGCAAAGTCCATCAATCAATATGTTAAACGTGTAGGCATCGGGCTCATAACCTGCAGCTACCATGCTCGTTGTACGTAAGATCCTTCGCTTCTTCAAACCTTCCACTAGCAACATATCCATTGATTAATGTATTATAGAGCACAGTATTGAGACTGAGAATTTTGTTCAGCAAGGTCCTTGCTACATCAACTTGCCCCATTCTGCATAACCCATGCATTAAATATCCATAAGTCAGAGCATCGGCGCTGAAACCACGAAGGAGCATTCGGTCAAGCAACTTCACTGCATTATGTGGCTAATTGCGTTGGACGTTTAGCTTGTGGTCATCACATATTTCAATCACTTCTCGCTCAAGCGAAAGTACCCGTCGCTTGAGCGAGAATTGACCCGAGATTTTAGATAGCGGTTCTAGAATTAACCGCTATTAAAAGTATATTTTAGATAGCGGTTAACGTGGAACCGCTATTATATGTATACTTTTAAGAGCGGTTAAAATATTAACCGCTCTTAAAAATGACACATATATGATATATGATCGATTTGTTCAAATTATAATCGATTATAAATTTTTTTGCTCAAGCGATGGATGTTTCGCTTAAGCGAGAATTGACCACGGTCCAACGCAGTTACCCAATCAATTCTCGCTCGAGCGAAGTAACTCATCGCTTGAGCGAAAATTGACCACAGGCTAAACGTCCAACGCAGTTAGCCACATAACGCAACTTTGGTCACCACATATTTTAATCACTTCTCGTTCAAGCGAAAATACCCGTCGCTTGAGCGAGAATTGACCGAAGATTACCCCTTTGTTACAGATTTCCTCGCTCAAGCGAAGGGTTTCTTCGCTTGAGCGAGAGTTGATTGCGCAAAATAATCGATCATAATATAAAATAATCAATTATTTTAATACGTGAAAAAGTAAAGAATGTTAATTGTGTAAATAATGTTCCGGATGTGCTATTTTGAGAAATATTTTAAAAAATAGTATTATTTGTGAAAAAAAGTCAATGTTGATAATAATAACATTATCCAGAACTTGAATGTCTCTATCTTAATATAGTTTATTTTTCAAACCATCTCATCAGTGTCGTCAAGTGTCCACTTAATCCTTAAATACGCATTTAATCCTTAAATATGCAAGATTATGTCAGTTTATCCGTTAAAATAAAGAAATATTTATTTTAGTTTTTATGTGCAAACAATTTTATTCTTTTATCATATTATTAAGTTTTGTGAGACTATTTTATTATTGAAATATTTTTTCAACTAATTTAAGATTAAAAAAGGGTTATTTTTTGTCATTGAAGTAAATATTAGAAACTCATTTTGAATTCTTTAAATATTTTTTTTATATTTTCATCAATTAAATCAATGTCTCATAATTATCAATTGATTGTTTACTAAGAATAAAACAAATAAAGATTCTTCGAATTTATAACACCTTAATTGAGAAGGTTGGTTTCAATTTGACTAAGTAGATAATATATAGCATGCATGACCAATTAATGAACTTGACGTTGCCTCATCTATTCAGAGATAGTCTTACCCATAATTCAAATATTATCTAAGTTACTTAGTCGTTGGGTGTCATAGATTCTTTTTTTTTTTAAATATTATCACCTTTGTGTTTATCTGTACATGCATGCCTTTTGAAAAATCCACATTAATTGTTGATACTGAAATAGGCACCTATATGTTTATGCCAAACATAATAGAGGTTATCTGTAATGCCAAACATAATATGTAACTGTAAGGATAAGTCAGTAAAGAGAATGACAGGTTCAAAGAAAAAAAAAAAGAGGCTAATTTTATTGTTGTCTTATTAATTAATGTAATGTTTATACATATTTGACTGATTTGATTTGGAAGATTTTTTTACCATGATTGTAGCAAGGTTAGAGCTTATATCTCATACATACTATTCCATGAAAATTTTGAATAACTTGAAGATCAATTTTAAATAGTTACATGATACTGATTAACTTTTAATTTCACCCTCATACATGATTGTATCACTTATTATTTTAGTTTTCATTTTTTACAGGAAAAATGATCATATGTCTCAAAATGAGAAACCCTTCATAACAAAAAATAAACTAAAATTGAGAACTTTTAAGATAGTCCACAGCAATATAATTAAAAAAAAAAATAAAGATTAACCACGTCAAAATTAGTAATGATCATTATAACATTGTCAAACAATAATAGTAACTGTGTGATATTAATAATAATGATCATATAACTTTTAAGGTTTTTAGGTGAAAGATATTTTTAATTGTAATCTAAGAACAATATTTAATTTTTTTTTCATGATAAGTGTTTCTTATTTAAAATGGCCCCAAGCAAGCCGAATGCAACTCTAAATATGTTAAATTTTATTATCGTCCAATGTGATAAAGAAAATCAGTGAGGAACATGACCTACTAATTGGCAACTATTATTAGGTTTTATGACCCACTCCATCCATTTATAGATTCATAGTAGCTTCATCGGTCTAAGAGGAAGACTTGGAAACCCTCTTAGATGAAAAAGACTCTTTGATAGAAGGCTACATATTTTTCTGAATTTTTAATTTTTTTCTTCCTTGAATAAGGTATTTCCATGTGGATGATTTGGATTCCTAACTATTTATGCCTGTATGGTTTCAAAAAATATTATTTTAGCTAGGTTTTATTCTTATGTTTATTTCAACCACTCGTACTTAATTTGTCTACTCAAAGGTAAGAGCCATTGAAAAACAAAAGGTTTCTATTATATAGCTCTGCGCTCAGACTTGGAGAGGAATCTAATCAGTATCCGCAACCATGGTAGCAAGGAAAAAAAAAAGGAGAAACATCTGCAAGAACAAGGAAAAATATATCTTAATATAAGCAGATATGGCCCTTAATTTGTGTTGCAAGAGAGTTGATCTCGAGTTTATCTATGATTACATTTTCCAGTGAAATTAATAGAATCAGTGATTGTGACTGCATCAGACGATCTGTGCATTGCAGTCTCAATCATCAGGTGGGAAATCCTCGTCCGAGGTACTTTCCAAGAAAGAACCAAGAGTTTTCCTAAGAATGCTGAAAGTTTTGTCGTCCTGTGTGGCAAAAAATAATCAATAGGATATGTTTATGCCCGGGTGAATATGTTCATCAAAGGGACACAGGAATAGAATGCAACACAAAATATATCCCACTGTTTAATTTACCTGTTTCTTCTTTTTCAATGACTCTTCCAGTTGGGCAATTTTATCATTGCAGGCCTTTTCTTGTTCAGATATCAGAACTCTTTCCTTCTTCCCTGAAGCATTTATAAAGTTAAGATAAAATTAAATTATTCAGATTGCTGTTGTATAAATTCATAAAGGCAGATTAAATGTTATAACTTACTCAGTTGTTCATATCGCACAAATAACTTTTCCTTTTCCTCTTCGAATTTGGAGATAACATCTATCAATGGACAGAACAGTGTTTAGCGTCTAACCAGCAATGAGTTCGATTATCTCATTATATCAGATGCATTAACACGGTTACTATATATCTCAAAAGTAACACTTTATTTCATAGGAATTGTCACTACTATATCTTTCAGAAACTGTTAATGAATCATAATTAGATAATCCAAGCAGTTATTCAAAAAAGGTTATAAAGTTCATAACCGATAAAGCTAATGAGCCCACCATGACAATCTTACAGGGATTACCTTTCAGTGCCTGCAGAGAATTGGCTTTCTCTTTGCAAAAATTTTCGTGAAGTGCTTGAAACTTAGTAGTTTCGTTCTTCAAGGAACTTTCGTACTGCAAGTTTGTAATAACAAAATGATTAAACCAGTTTTGGGAAACACACGACTTGATTATGACAACTCAATATCACACACAAACCATAATCGTCTACGAACCTCTTTGGAACTCTTTGAAAGCGCTTTAGCAATGCTTTGCCTGACATTGAAGCAACAATGTACCGTTTATATAAAATATATTAGAGAGGCCTAAACAACAAACTACTCCGACTTCGAATTTACCTGTCCTTCTCAATTTTTGACCTCAATCCCTCGATCATAGACTTAATCTCAAAACCCACACTATCACAAACAAAGCAGACATCACTAAAACACTGATTATGCAAACAACAAATAAGAATCTACAGCGGCAGTTGCATCAAATTTGTTGCTCGTTTCATTTAAATTCGATGTTTGTGGCAAATTTACAAGTCCACATTAAGCATGCACGTTTTTAGATCACATAAAAGAAGCACGCGCATCGATTCAAAATCCGAATCAAAACCGCTAAAATCTTCATCGCATTCTTCGAATTGTTCCAGGCACAATCTTCGGAGTTCAAATATACTAATAGAAACGTTTCAGGTACGATCGAAACGCACGCAAACGCGCTACCTGGAAATTGTCTCTTCGTTCTTCTTCTGACCATCCTTCTGAGCCTTGTCTCTGATCAGGTGCAGCGCCGACACGATTCCTTTGATGTCACTGCAGACAATATGATCATCTTTTTAGCACGATTACGAAAATAAATAAATAAAAAATATTGAAAAGACAAAAGCAGCGAAGATGAACTCTGAGAGATCGAAATCCAAATCGATATCGAAATTATCTTTTGCTGATCGGTTGTTCTTATCGGTTTTCGTGTGTTCGGATTCGGATGCCCGCTTCCTTGACCCGGTTATGGTAGCAGACATTGCGAGCGTAGCTCAGTGAAAACTCCGAGTTACCAGAAACTCAAGCGATGATGGTTTCTCTCGTTTGCGCGCGCTCAAATCGTTACATTCACTAATTTCAAACCTTCACTTCAGCATTCTTTAAAGCTAAAATATTAAATAATATATAAATAATAATTGTATAAAATTAATTGATTGATTTTATAATAATTATTTAGAAATTATATATAAAATAATTTAAAATTGATTGACAATATAAATCTATGAATTAGTAATATATTAAATTAAACTCTAATGGAATGTTTTAAACTTTTAAAAAATTAAAATAAAAAAAACTAATAGGGATCTTCTAAATAAAAAACATTATATATTCTATTAAGTAAAACATGTACATATTTAAAAATTCATTCTATTCCAAAAAAAAAAGATTAAACAAGTTAAGTAATATGTTCTATTATTATACACAAAAGAATTATAAATTTTAATAAATATTATAATTGATAAACCATTGGTGTAAAATTTTTTTATATTATCAATTAATGAAAACCATTTTTTAGCCATTTAAATTATTATTAAAATAAAAAATGTATTATGCATAATATTATAAAAATAGTATGTGTTTACTAATAAATAATAGTATAACAATTTAATTTGTCTATATGTATAATTGAGGATTGAAAGAGTTCAATATAAAAGAATTCTTATGGAGGGTTTTGAGACATAAGAAGTTAAAATTATTATGGTAAAAAGTAAAAACACTAAATATAGGTGGTACAATATATGATGGTCCAAATTAAAAGTTATTTAGTATCATTTATCTGAGTGAATGAACAGGGTACCAATAATGGAAAAAAAAAATTACACATATGTGGATTTTAATATCAATAACTTTAAGATCTAATTTTAAAAAACCATGCATGTGTATATCGAACTAGCGTGACAATTTTTTCTTAAAAAAAATAAGAATAAACTATGACCCAACAACTAACTAACTTGAATAATAATCAAACCGCTCAATAAATGAGCCAACGTCAAGTTTATTAATGTCACAGTTTTTTTTTTATAAATAAAAGTATTATTTCAATGTCGATTATATATTAAATTAGAGAATAAATTGTTATTATTTTATTTATTTTAAAAGCTAAATATAATTAAAATTAGAGAAAAAAACTATTAAAAACTAAAAAATAAAATTTGCATCTTTACAAGGGACCAAAAGTTTATTAAAGTAAAAAAAGAAATGCATAATATATATAAAACTTATATTGAACTCTTTTAAAGTGAAGAAAATGCATTTTAAAAATAAAGTACATTAGTAATTATAATATAAAACTCAATGATTGTAAATATATTTTTCTTTTCAGCTTATTGAACCAAAATTTAATTTTATCATAATTATAAATATACTTTTTTTCTTGGAGGAAATTTTCTACTTGTGTTTGTTTGGTGTTTGATTATCCCTTTCAGCATGTGAGATGGTTGCTTTTGGAGGATAAAGTCCTTTTTAATATACATTCATAGAAGGCAAAACCAATATAATTACAAAAATAAATGTTCTCACCACATGCCCTTAGACCCAAACACACCCTACAAAAATCAAAATTCCCTTTAACAAAACAAAAGGATAACATTCAGATCCAAACGACCCAAATGCTTAGACAAAAGCCTTTGTTTTTTTATGTCAAACAACTAATTTTCTACATTTTTTTAATTAAGACATATATTTTGACATCAATATTTAAATAAGATTAGTTTAGACACGTATCTCAATCTTATTCAAATAGTGAAAATGAATTGTTCCTAACTTTAAAAAAATCAGTTGCATAATAAAGTTATACAAACAAAAGGATAAGATAAGGTCATTGTAGGCTGTGGCATCGTGGTTGTCACTAGTGCACTTTTATATATATATATATATATACATATATATATATATATATATATATATATATATAAGAATTTCCTTAGCATGGAGGTCAAAATTAGAGAGATAGACAAAGTGGGATATTATATAATATGATATGGTTAGTTGATGATTATGTTGTTTAAGTATGTGATTAGATGTTAATAATTGATTTATAAACATAATTAATAAAAAATAATTTGTAATAATAATTTATTACGATAGTATCCAATTAATGACAACAATTTCTTTATCCATTGATATACAAATATTTCTTAGTTATTTTTATCCCATATGTTTTTTTAGATTTTATATTTATCTACAAAAATAATTTTATACTTTTTCATGTTATAGATTAAATGATCCAAAAAATATTAACAAAATATATTTTTTAAATTTTAGAATGTTGAATCCAAAAAACTTTCTAATTTTAAAAGTTAAAAAAAATTATGGATTAAAGGATCTAGAATACTGATTAATAAAACAAATAAGCTTCATAATACAATGATATATGACTGGATGACTTGTACTGTATTTGAGTTTGTAATTATTATTTGTTTTTGTCATTCTAGTAACTAACTACGCTTCCCTTTCAACATCATAGAATCTTTAAATTAAGACAATTATTGTTAATTTTCCACATCACTTTTTTCAATTAAATCAACATTTTTTTTTCTTATTTTTAACTCTAATAAAATGAGTGTCTTTACCTAAAAAAGAAAAAATTGCACATAAATTATAGGAATATTGAAAGAAAATATCCACAATATTTTTATCATTTTACATAAGTGTCGAAAAAATATATGGAATACGAAAAAAAAAAAATTTCCCCACAACATGAGGTCCTAATACTAGTTTAAAAAATTAATCTCTAACTAATAAATCCTCAGGGTTCAACCAACAAAATAAAATGAATGTAAACTACAAACATGTCCATTTCCATTTTTCAATCTATTCTGGAATACAGTGTTTTAAAATAAAATAAAAATAGATAAAAACCACTAACAGTTATATATATATATATATATATATATATATATATATATATATATATATATATATATATATATATATATATATATATATCTGTGGTGGTGCAAAATATGAAAATTTATTGAGTTATAATTTGAAGTCTAATTGAGATAAGATATGAGTAAAGAGAATAAGTTATTAGGTGAGAATTAGCACTCAGTCATGATGGACTTTGGATTTAATTTATAATTTACTATAGATTTTTTTTTTTAAGTACTTAATAACTATTTTTAATTGTGTTTATTTTGACAGAAAATAAGAAAAATAAGATGATAAAAAAATAAAAGATGAATGTTGTTTTTTTTTCTCTTAAAATATATAATCAATTATGTGTCTCTACGTAATTAATTAACTATATATATATATATATATTAATTATTATAATTATTAATAATTAAATAAAAATATTAAAGTAATAAATTTATTTTAAATTAATATTTTAATTGATCAAATCAATTTTTTTTTCGTTTTTTACTTTCTTTTTTCCTCATTCAAATATTTTTACTTTTTACTTCTTTTATTTCTTTTTTACTCTTTCATATCCACTTTTAATTCAAATACAATATTAACAATATATATATATATATATATATATATATATATATATATATATATTAATATAATAATATTTTTTAAGAATAAAATGAAAATGGAATAGAATATTAAAAAACCTAAACATAATATCAAAACATTTTTTTTAGTAACTTTTATAATTTTTCCTTTACTTTTAATGTTTTTTTTAAATTACTACTTTTAATTTTTATAAAATATATAAATTTTATTTTTATTCTTTCTATAATAGTTATTTTAATTTTTTAACATTTTAAATAGTTATTTATTATCCCTAATATTTATATTAGAAAGTGTTTAGATAAAAATTATTTGTATTTAAAATTTAAAATATTTTATGACAAAATATGTTATTTGGATTATTTTTATAATTAATTAAAATTTTATTAAAATAATTTAATTATTTAGAATTTTATAATTTCAAAATTAACTTAAAAAAATATAATATTAAAATTTTTTTTCTCATTTATTCAAATACAACAATTTTTTTAGGTGTAATAGGTTAACATTATATAACTTTGTTCAAATTGTAAACATAACCAGTGTTATACAATGTATTGTTTAGAAAATTCGACCTGGTTAGTTTAATTGGTTCATCTGAAATTCAGGTTAGAAAACGATTTATTATTTTTAAATAATTAAACTTGAATTAAATTGAAATAAAATAAAATAAAAATAAAATCGGTGAAATTGAAAAAAAAAGAATTTTTGGGTCAAATATTTTTTATAAATGATAAAATTTAGAATTATTTTTTTATTAAAAGATAATATATTTTATTTTTAACTTTTTAATATATTTTATATTTATAATTTTTATTGAGATTTATAATAACTATGATGATAATTTTTATTATTTTTAATATTATTAATAAATTTATTATATATTTAATATATTATAAATTTTATTAAATCCAGTTGCGGGTGGACCTTTAAACTCGATCGAGTTTTAAAAACACTGATGTAATGTTACATTAACGACATGCTTAAGCCTTGGAAAAACAATAAAATTGGATAGCTATGAATGATTGGCACTGTTTTCCTTTGTGCTTTGGGGGTGGAAAAAGGGATATAAATAAGGCCGAAAAGCAAAGTCTCAAACCATCAATTTTCCCCTTTGTAAAACGCACTCCCCCGCTTCCCTCTCCCGTCTGCTTCCCTCTCCCGTCTACGGTATTAAGAGCTTTCACTTCGCTCTCACCTCAACAATTCAACTCTCTCTGTCTCACTACTTGCATCCTCAACTTATTCACTTTCTCTCTCTTTCTGGGTATGTCTTCTGGATCTTGCGTTTTTTCATTTGCATTTCAAAACTCGCAGAATTGTGTTTCAATTTCTCTGGAAGTGTGCGCGGTTTCGCAATTTATTGGATCTGTTTTTGTTTTTATCGTTTACATGGATGGATGGGCCGATTGCAAGAATAATTTTCTCGCTGAGTACCTACAATTCATTACTCTTGCTTCCAACATTATCGTTCCCAAGTACATGTTTTTATTGGGATTTTAATGCTTGATTTATGAAACTGATGCGACGTGTTTTAGATTTTGGATTGGATGTTTCTCCTAATTCTGGCTGTGTGTGGAGTCATGACAGTGACTTTCCCCTGCCTCAGACAAAGATTAAGTGATATATATATATATATATGATCCTTTTTTGTATCCCTTTTGCTCTCTTTCTGTGGCTGGATGAATATGAAGGACATAACTGTATGGAATTTGGGAATATGCTTTGTATTTATTGAGTTTTGTTTTTCGGTTTTGTATTTGGTAGTTTGGTTTTGTATTTGGTAGTTTGGGATCTGGTTTTATTTATTCCCCTTATGTGCGTTTGATTTCTGACTGATACTCAATAATTGAGGTTGATGATTCTCTCTCTCTCTCTCTCTCTCTATATATATATATATATATATATATGCTCTCTTTTTTTTTCTCTTGCTTTATTAGGCAATAGGCAATAGGCAATAGGCAATAGGCATGTGCTCAAGTTTCAATTTATTTCTACTTTAATTCTTCTATGCACTCTTGCTTATTTTTTGAGTGCTGATTAACCTCTACCTATTATGAGGTGGATTGGGGTGATCAAAGAGGAAACAAAATCGAAAGGTAGTGAATAATGTGATACAAAGAAGGTAGAGAGAAATGAAAAGAAAACGAGGGTGGGTAGAAGTGAGTTGGAAAAAGAGAGTAGATAATTTATAAGGAAAAATAAATTGCTTTTTTATTTGTCAATTGATAAATGTAGTTTTATCTAATAGAAAAAAGTTATTATTAAATGGTATGTTTAAGTATGAAAAATTATTAAATTTACATGTTTTTGAAAGTCAGGTTAAACTCAAATTTGAAAAGTACCCAACCAAAAAAATTAAAGTAAGGTGAAATAAAAAGTGAATATCTTTTATTATGTATTTGGATGTTTAAAATCTAAAATTCACAATATCCTATCATGATTTTTCACCATAGTAAAGTGCAACTTTAAGTTATCACACGATATTTTCAACACGATCTGTGTCAGTAAATGACCCTTAACATTTCTTTAAGAAATAAGGGGTTGTCAAAATAATTGTATGAGGAGTGATTTGCCAAAATATCATTATCCTTGCTTTAATTATGAGTATTAAATTGGTTTGGTGATCGATTCTCTTTTGTACTTAGGTCAGGGCTAGATAAGGACTGGCAACCAAAGTTCCAAGAGGGGTTCATTAATGGCTTTTGAGCACTGCGTTTCGCAGCAATGGAAAACCATCCCAAGCCCCATGACCGTGACAGAAAATTTTGATGGGTGTTTTGATTGCAACATCTGCTTAGATTTTGCACATGAACCAGTTGTCACTCTTTGTGGTCACCTCTACTGCTGGCCCTGCATCTACAAGTGGCTCCACTTCCAAAGTGCTTCTCTTGCACCTGATGAGCACCCACAATGCCCTGTTTGCAAGGAAGATATATGCCACACGACAATGGTTCCTCTCTATGGACGTGGCCAGGCCATAGCTCATAGTGACCGTGATGTGAAGGCTTCCTATAGAGGCATTTTCATTCCACCAAGACCATCTGCTTTGGGTACCCAAGCTCTCATGCCAACATCGTCTCAAAGTGGTCAGCAACTTCCATATCGCAATCCTTATCAGAGTCAGCATTTCAACCCTCCTTTATACGAAGAACAGGATGGATCATCATCACAAGTTCTCAATCCTGGTACCATGGCACCCGGGTTCCCCCACCTTGTGGTTGGGATGTTTGGAGAGATGTTTTATACCCGAGTCTTTGGCAACTCAGAAAATTTATACACTTACCCAAACTCTTACCACCTGGCAGGAAGTAATAGCCCCAGGTTGAGAAGGCAAGAGATGCAGGCAGACAAATCACTAAACAGAATTTCAATTTTTCTCTTCTGTTGCTTCCTTCTGTTTCTTATTGTCTTCTAAGCATGTATTTGGATTGTTCTGTATTTCCCCGTTGTATAATTTGTAAAGCAGCACGGGTGTAAACTCAAGAACGAGATAGATTGAGTAATTGTATTCTAGGTTAAAAGAACTGGTGTTCTTCATCATTTACTTCGATATATCAGAGCTCCATTTTTCGTAGTCATTTTCTACATGACTATTGAAATGAATTGTATTGCACCCTATTCTATGTGATACTGCAGTTTTAAAATTTTGGTACCTATGAGTTGCCTGTATTGGCCTGTTCAATTTCTCGTGTCTAGTTCAAAGTTTTGAGCACTTGTTGGTTGCTGAGAACATATCAACTCGACTCCAGAGACATATATCGCAAGATGATTGATGATAGACTGAGACATTTGGTCTGTTTATTTTGTAGAAATCAAATGTCTTAAATTGTTGTGGTTTTGATGTGAATTTTGATATTGCAGATGAATGAAGTCGCAATAATGGTTGATTTGCTGTCATAATCGCAGTTACAGACAATTTTTTTTCAAACCTTGATCTCTGATTAGTGATAGATATTTCCTCTCTGAATCTATTATGAACTCAGAAGAGGAGGAACAATTTTTCAATTCTTACAAAATCTTGAATGTAAGGGTTTTCTCGAGGTTTACCCGTAAGTGGTGAACCTGGACAATTTACCTATATTACAGTCAACGAGTTTCTTTAGATTTTAAAATAAATATTTTTAAAATAATAACTTATTGAAGAAGTAATTAAAATTTATTCATTTAAATAAACAGAACACTACTTATTTTTAAAATAAGTTTATTAGACAAAAATATTTTATAAAATAAATCTACTTACTTTTCTTTACACAATTAAAGGCAAACAAATTTGCTCAATTTTTATAACGGTTAATCCAATCAACCTAAGAAAAAAAAAAAAGTATCGGACAATATTGATAGTTCATAATTGTAATGGATAAAATGTGTGTCGTGATGAAGCAATGAGTTGTCCAGGGTCCACCGTTATCAACCAACAAAAGTCTACCATTCATGTTGAACATGAAATGTCAGAGTTTTGTTTTACGGTAAAAGCTAGTTTCTGAGAAAAAGTTCTCAAGTCCAACTTTACGTTCTCTGATGATGTTGGTGGTCCATTTGGACTCTGGAGGTTTAGGTTTCAATATGTTAATGTTGGCCAGTTGGCAATGGCTTTTCTAAGCAATGCCATCACAATTCTCTTACTCACCAGCAATGTTTTGTACTGTTTAGATGCATATGATGAGTAGACTAAAACAAAGTTGTCGCACGCATGTAAAATATTTTTTGATTTTAAGACTTTGAACTTTTTGAGGTTTTTGTTACTTATCCCTATCTTATGTCGCTAATGCAATGCTTATTGGTGTATTAAAGAAGGAAATTAGTGTTCCTCAAGCTATTATTGTTGATAAGCCATGAACTCTTAACTCATATCTAAAAGGTCGTATCTGTGTCAGGTCCTATACGAATCATGTTGCTCCACAATGAAGTTGGACATAAAGCGAGGGTCACGACGTTTAAGCTTTACCATCATCGAAGTACCAAAATGTTAGGGTTGTTCTCTCCTGGAAAGTCACACTATTTTGTTGTTTCATAGTTTGCAAGAATTTTTCGATCTTTGTGTGATCATGAGACGTCACCTCATTGCTCTAAATCAAAGACATGGTTTATAATTATACATTAATTTGTCCCAACAAATTCTTCAAGCATTATAAACAACATAAATATATTATTAATGGTTATCAAATAAGATCATGAAGTATAACAACTTTTACAAATTCTTATAATTCTAGTAATTTTGTCAATCTATCACCTAATAGATAAAAGTGCTCCTATCACTATTCAAACTCAGACTCTTTAAATGCTTCAACAATGATCACTTCAATATATTCAACTATAGAACTTCAGGTAACTCATCTTTATCTTAATATTTTGATTTTAGGGCTTTCAATCATCGAATTTTTTACTAAAATAATATTATTATAACTGAATTTTTTATAAAATTATTTATTTAACTGAATTTCTTTTGCTATTGTACTTAGAATTTGGTTTCTCCAAAACTGAATTTCAATTTTAAACTTACTACTTTTTTCTAAATAAAAAATTAAATAAAATATATAATTAAAAATAATAAAATTAATATTAAAAATAAAATTTTAACTTTAAAATTTAAATAATATTCATATAAAAAATAATAAAAATAATATATTATTTAAATATATATATTAAATTATTTAAATATATTTAAATAATTATTAAAAATAATAAATAATATTTTTTTATTTTATTTTTGAATAGGAAATTTAAAATTTATATATTTTTTATTATATGAATTATTTAAGTTATAATTTTAGAAAAAAATTGATAAATTTAATATATAAAATATTAAAAGTAAAATTAAAAATAAGTTACTAGTAGCAAAATAAAAATTATAGAACATAATATTAAAGAAAAATAATAAAGTTAGAAAAATTTTTATAGAGTGAAAATAATAGAGGTTTATGAAGAATAAAACTCTCCACAAATCTCTCCCGAAATTCAAGAACAACCACACCGACGAAATCCAAAACGTAATAGATGTTGTGGAACCGGACACCACTTTTGATATTAATTTTTTTTTAACATTATTGTCAATAATTTTATTTTTCAATTTTTATTATCAATGATTATGTTATTTTTAATATTATACATTAAATTCTGTCAATTTTTATTATTTTTTATTTTTAAGTTTATTTTATATTAATAATAATAATTTTTAACTAATTAAATAATATTTTTACTTTATTATTTAAAAAAAATTAATTTTAGCATGATTTTTTTTAATATAATATTTATAATTTATCAAATAAAAACTATTACATAAATTTTTATAATATAATATTTAATTTTTTAATATATTACCTAAATTAAATTTTTATTTATTCTTTTTTTTCTAAAATTATAACTTAAATAATTCATATAATAAAAAATATATAAATTTTAAATTTCCTATTAAATATATATATATATATATATATATGTAAATATAATAAAAAAATATTATTTAATATTTTTAATAATTATTTAAATATATTTAAATAATTTAATATATATTTAAATAATATATTATTTTTATTCTTTTTTATATAAATATTATTTAAATTTTAAAATTAAAATTTTATTTTTAATATTAATTTTATTATTTTTAATTATATATTTTATTTAATTTTTTTATTTAAAAAAAGTGGTAAGTTTAAAGTTTGAATTTAGTTTAGAAGAAACCAAATTCCAAGTACAACAATAAAAGAAGTCCAGTTAAATAAATAATTTAATGAGAGGTTCAGTTAAGTAAATAATTTTATCATAACTTTTTTTATTTATGTATACATATAATATAATAATATTATTTTAGTAAAAAAAAAGTCTTCAATCACATTATTAACAATGTTAACTCCTTAATAATATACAAAAATATTATAAAAATCTTAAGATACATAATAAAAATCAATTATCTGTCACCGTAATGGGTATTGTTTCTCCATCTTTTACTGTTTTTCCTAACCATATTAATCTTATTTTTGTTGATAAGTTAATTGATAATAGTTATCAAGTACAGTTGTTATAATCTAATTGTGTTATGCATGATTAACACTTTTAGAAAATAATTAGGAAATGCTATAAAGTTGAAGTTTTTTTTTTTTTTTTTATTTATGAACTTATCTTTTTCTCTTAATCCTACTCCACTTTTAGTTTCTTATAATTCTACTATTATTGATTCCTAAGTGGCATAGAGGTATATTGAGTCTCCTATAATTCATTTCATGTTAAATTTTGGTTTCTTAGTAATATATAAATTCATACACAAATTTAATTAAGAATTATATGCAAATTTCTTTTCTCTTATTCAATTGTGATTTCATTACAATCATAAGTGCATTTTGAGATTAGAGCTGGATTAGATTAAGATTGATTAAGATTCATATACAAAATTAAGGCTAAGTAATAATTGATAATTCAAGTTATTTTTGAATTGTGTTTGAATTTGAGATATTAAGGATTGGAATTTCTATTTTAGTAAAAATATGTATGGTGATTTAGCTTATTGGTTTCATGTTAATATATGTATGAAACTTAAATTTTATGAGTTTATGATAAGCATGTTTTGATCTCTTTAGATATTGAATTAATTATTTTGAAATTGAATTTTCTCTAATCTTTTTTAATCTAATTTTTTGTTATATTTTTATTTCTAGTTCTATTTGGTTTGTTGAAAATTTAAATGGGAGTTTAAAATCTTATATTAGATAAAAATGAAAAAGTTGAGTAATTTATAAATGAGAAAAACTCATAACCTAATGTTTTAAAGTTTTTGGTTGAATATAATATTATATTCTTTTATATGATTAATTCATGATCATGATAATATTTCTTCTGCTAGTTCCTTCAGAAATATCTACCAATGTGTTAGTAGGAAATCGTTAAAAGAATCGAAAAATGAAGGAAAAAAAAATCGAAGATCATATGATTGGTAAAAGAAATCGAGAACGTGCTTTTGATAAGATTGGTAAAGGACACCTGGTGACCAAAAAGATGGAAATGTATCAAAAATTAAAATCGAGAATCGAAGAAATACATTTCGATGTCTATTGTTGAAGAGAATCGAGGGATTAGAATAGTGCAACGTTAAGAATTAAAGGGAATAAGAAGCAAAATTTAAAATACTCGATGTCTTAAATCGAATTCGAGGGATGCGAAGAACACACAGGGAACATGGGAAACGATCTCTAAACCACGACAGAGATCGAAGGTTAAAGGAGCAGTTCTCTTTTACGTGAGAACGTGGAGTGCAGTTTTTTAAACTATCAGACTAAGGGTACGTGCACGTAGGATCGTGATGACAGTTTTGTTAACCGCTCTTAGGAGGTTATCTGAAGAGCGCCCTATAAATAGAATGAAGCATGAAGAAGAAAAGGGGGGGGGGGGAATTGGCAGAGACAACAGAAGCGCAAGTGAACAGTCTACAGGAGAACGACGCATCATGAAGTTTCTAATGCTCTGGATTTCCGTTTTCATTGATTGTCTTTATCGTTTTCTTTACTTTCCCTGGTAATTTACTTTCATGCAATTTACGTTTATCAACTTTAAGTTTATGTTCTTTCAATTCCTTGTCATTTACTCTTATGCAAGTTAAGGTTATGCGTTTAAGTTCCTGTTATTTACATTTCTGTAATTTCGATTTCCTGCTATTTATACTTCTGCAATTTCGATTTCCTGCTATTTACATTTATGCAATTTCGATTTCTTATTTTTTACATTTCTGCATATTTCGATTTCTTGTCATTTACACTTAATGCAATTTTGAGGTTTCCGCATTTTACAATTTTCTGCAATTTAATATTCTGCACCACTTTTCAATTCGACATTTTTTTTACCACTTTTTGTACTTCGCGTCTCTTAATAAAAAATACCAAAAATAGTACTTTCGATTTTCAATTTGTATGATTTGTTGTGTTGGTAACATTTCTCGATACTGTGATATTTTCAATTCTCATACACTTTTCGATTTAAAAACTTGATTGCTAGCCTAAATAAAAAGAATCTACGTGGTTAAAATTTGGTTAGAACTTAAGTCTTGATTTAATCGAAATCGATCAAATTTTCACCAGAAACAAATTGGCGCACCAGGTAGGGGAAATTTGTGTCGAAAAACACAAAATTGATTAGTTCGAAATTGTATGAGATTAAGGAGTGGACGAGTCATAAGAATGAGTCAAAATATACCAAATAACCAGAGTAACAGTGAGGGTCAAAATGGTTCACATCCACCAAACACTGGGGGGCAAGGTCATAATGGGAATATGCCTGTAGTATCGACAACCACAAATATGTTGATACCTGTGAGTAGTGAACAAAGTTCAAGTACATTAGCTCAAGTAGGGTCTAGTACTGTGATATCAAACAATATGCAAACTATGGGAAATCCCATAACAACATATGCAAGGCCTTACATGAGCGTAAGGCCGCCTGGTTTTTTGCCTAATAATATGAATGAGGTTGGTACTTCTTCAATACAACGAAATTCGAGATTTAACATAGGAATGCCTCAAAACTTAGGAACATTTCAAACACTAGGTATGCCGCAAAATTTCGGAGTATCTCCAAACTTAGGGACGTCTCAAAATTTAGTGATCCCCCAGAATTCAGGGAGTGGGCAGAATTTAGGTACACAACAGGCACCTCCAAATCTAGATCACAGAGCAAATCTGGATCA